GGGAGGTCTTATTTGTTTTTTTGAACAGCTTTTAGCATCTGTGGATATTTGAATGCACTCTCCTTTCCTGTGGGACCATAGTCGTCACTTACTGTTGGTTAATATCTACAGACTATAGTGTAAAAAACTATATCAGTATGTGTGTATGGTTATGCTTCATTAGACTAGTTACAGTATATTAATATGTGTATTTACTTGCTGGTGCACTACTGAGTTTGCTTTTGCATGTATGCCCATGTGGTTGTTACTGCAAATAAAAGGATTCTGTATCACCTTTCATAAACCAAGATATCTTATTTCGAGATGGATGTGGATCAAACATGAAATTGGACTGATGAAAAATTACAATGTGCAATATTCAGCTTAGTACGTACTCACAATAAGCCTTGGCTGCATCAACTCCCAAATCCATCAAGGTTTCAGAAATATTTGATCAACTGAATAAACGCCCAGCGTTCGCTTTGTTGTGAATAGAGGGTGATTTCCTTAAGGTTTGTGTTTGTCATAGCCGTGATGAAAGGGAAGCTGTGAAGGTCGCAGAGGGAGCAGGGTTCACGTTCCTGCAGGAGCGCGGCGGGTGTTGGCTCTGAATAACATAGTTCGCTGAGAGAGTGCTTTCTCTGACACCAAAAATCACTGTCATGAGGATCTACGAGAGCGACTCTGGAGACGAGAGGCAGGACGCCCCCCCCAAAAAACCCCATTTTTAAAAAAGAGAGAAATACATGAATCTAAAGCTTACAGCAGTGAGGGGCCACCAGTGAGAGGAGAGCTGGGCAAACTAAAAGGTTAACCGAGAAAAAACAAACCCAAAACAAACTTCAATAATAAATAATGCGTCAGTTTTTTTTGGACGACACCTTTGTTAGTATCTTTCTCCATACAGTGTGATGGATAAACTACTGCTGTAGCCACGGCTGCCCTGGGGCCACGAATTGACAGAAGCCGAGAGATACAGTATTCAGCACCAGACTCATTCTATGTGAGGGAAGTGTCTTGACTAAGGACTCACACAGCCGCCTCACTGTGGCACCTGAGTTTCCCAGAGGTTCTCCCATCACGTACTTAGTGGCCCATGTTCCACTTCTTCTAGGTTACGATCAGCAGTAGTTTTACAGGGGATGCACATAACCAGTGCCGGGCGTGTCCCAGTGGGGGGGGGGGGGGGGGGGGGCTGTATTTGTTGACAAATTCTCTCTTGTCTTTATGGGGCCTTAACTCATTGATGCCATTGACATATATGTCTGAGAACCATCTTGGCTATTGAGCTGGAAATACAGGACAATAAAAGGAGACTAAAACAATCTTATTTTTGTGATCAAAGTATACAAACCAGTCTTTCAGAATTGTTTCACATTTTCACATAGTCTTACGCTTAAAATTCTGTGGGTTCTTGTGGAATAGTGAAAACATAAAACAGCTGCAGTCAAAAAAAGGAGGATATTCACAAATTTTAGGAAATAACCACTCTCTCTACAGGGACTGAACATGGCGGGAGAGGCGTGCAACGAGCCCAGCTTCCTCGTGCGCGCTTTGTTTACAAGTCACTGTCAGCATTGCTCACACCAAGCTCACTTTCCAAGACGATTCACACTTTTTCCACTTTGTCAGACTACATAGGTAGATAACGTTTTACGGGAAGTGATTTGTCATGGCTTCTCCAAACTTTAACTGTCGGTGTAGAAGCTTGCCAACTGACGCTTCGCTGAGAAACACCAATACTGGGGTTTCAGTGGCGCGCACCGTCGTTGTGAAAATTTAATATCCCACAAAAACACACTGGTCTGTTTTGACAGCACGATACGACCGCCTCATGTCTTCATGTGTCACAGAAGATTGACAATTAGGAAAGGCAATAGTCATTGGGGGGGGGAGGTATTGGTGAGGTGGGGGTGCTCATAAGTTTTCGCTTCAGGCTAATACTCTTTTGAGCAGAATTAACATGTTAAAATGAATAATAAATCTAAATTACTGAAATATACAAGGAGAACATGCTCTTTTCTTTGATGAGAGCTTGGATGCTAGTGTGCATATTACTTCTGCTTTCTTTCAAAGCATTATAAAGCAGCAGTTGCAGACCAGCACTAAATAGCCCCTCATTCCCTCAGCTGATTCATTAACCCGAAAGTCTTTCTCTCAACAGAAAATCAATAAGAGAGGAGTGAACATGGCAACTATAAGCTTCACTTCTGTCCACACTGCGCCCCAATGACTGCACCAGATCTAGATCAAATCATTTGTTTTTTTTTTTTGCCACGCTCTAAATCCCAGCATGCCGTCGACTCCGAGGACTTCAAAAACTTGTTGATTTGCCAAAAGGCCAAGAGTGGTAGGAGTTTGAGTTCTGTAGCCAAAGCGAGTTGAGCTCCCTGTCCTTTTGACCCCTTTCCTTTTTCTGCAGGAAAAAAAACTACAACAAATATAAACTAGATAAACCTCAGGGAGAACCACAGTGATGAAGAGATCTCATACTTCTATGGACGTGCTTTTCCATTCTGGAGAGAAGGAGTACAAGGTTGTTGAGCTAATTAGTCGCAAAGATATTAATTCTTCTGTCAAGATTGAAGATTCAGAGGGAAATTTTTCTTGGACTCACAGTGCTGCCACACAAAAGACCGGACACAGAACACAATACAGTCCCACAACAGAAGCTTATCGGGACTCTCTTCTAGTCTCTGGTCCATTCTGCTGGTCACTCTCTGGTCTCGCTCTCGGGTCTCGCTCTTGGGTTCTCGCTCTCTGGTCTCGCTCTCTGGTCTCACTCTTGGTCTCTTTCTAGTTCTTATCCCTGTTGTCTTCTTCTGGTCTCACTCTGGTCTCTCTCTCTGGCCACTCTCTCTTGTCTCTGTCGCTGGTGTCTCATTTTCGGTGGTCTTCATTTCTGGCCTCTCTCTGGTTCTCGTCTCTCTGGGACTCTCTCTGGTCTCTTCCCTTGCCATTCCTAAATAACCAAGTCCATAACAATTCAATTGCCTCTACTCACCTCTGGAAACGCCATGTTCCAGCTTTCTTTTTTTCCCCAGCTGTCATCAGTCCGAACAAAAAGCGCACTCCCTACTTCTCCCATCTGAGAACGAGCCAGGATCTTGCTGTATTTTCTCGCTAAGATGCTCGCTAGGATTTTTTCGTTTAAAGATTTGACGATTTATTTTGTCGCCAAGATTTTCAACATTGGGACCAAAACGCCCCCCTTTTGATCTGTGTTCGGCCCAGTAGTCGAGGGGGAACATATCACCAGAAATGGCTCGACCACCAGCCTTACACTGAGCTTGCGTCTTGGTTACTTGGTTTCAGAGTCAGGTAAAGTCATTCACATGTATCCAAAAACCTAGCCTGGCTCTGCCCGATCCTTGTAGTTCCGCCAGGTGCTCCACCTGAGGCGTTTGGCCTGATCCCAATGGTGTCCTGGTATTTATCGAGCCCATAGGAAAGCCTTCCCCAGATTATTTTTTAATCGACCAAATCAGGATTGCCGGTGTTACGTGAGGTTCTGCACTGCCTTCTCAGATTCTCTCATGCAGGAGCGAGAAGAGGAATCCAAGATGGCGGCTCGGAAAGTCCGCGAAAATTTAATTTAATTCTTTTTTAAAAGAGTAAATACGACGAATTAGACACGGATGTCACTTTTAATGCAATTTGAGGCGAGATGTAGATGGTTCTATGTTGCTATCATACGTGTTTTTGTATCGAATAGTGGGGTGGTGTGTTTCTAAGGTCAAATGTTTCCTGTAAAGGTTTGGTTTTGAAGCACTGGTTCAGTGTTATGATACCACACTATGCAGCATGGGTTGTCCAGGTTGGGTCGGTTCCGCATTTTTTTTTCCAAGAGCTTTTAGGTACAGAAAGTACAAAATAAACGAATCATGATAGCCCAAGTTGATTATATTAGTTTTTAGCCAAAAAAATCATTTGGAGTGTTTTTGGTGGTGTGGGTACGTCTCGGGATTTATGGGTTGTAAAAATATTGAGTGGGCTTTGGCAACCTATGGGAGCCGTGTGCTTCTGATGTGAGTGGTTGAAAGCAGACAGTGTTGCCAACTTAGCGACTTTGTCGCTAGATTTAGCGACTTTTCAGACCCCTATAGCGACTTTTTTTCAAAAAAAGCGACTAGCGACAAATCTAGCGACTTTTTCTGGTGTTATTGGCGACTTATCTGGTGTTTTGGCGACTTATTGGTGTTTTGGAGACTCGTGAAGCACGTATTGTTCTGCTGTCCTCAACGTGAGCCCCTCCCCCGTCCCAAAGCACTTACAGGCGGCCAGTCTCACAGTAGCCTTGCGCAGCAGTCCCAGCTACAGTCTATGGGCGGAGCAGAGAGAGAGAGAGAGGAGACTCAAAAGCACAGGAAGTTTTCAGGCTGCTGCAGACTGAACTTCAGCTCCACCACCACCACACATCCAAAGCTCCCGGCCACTCCTACCACCGCCACCCCCACTACCCCCCACTCCATCCGCGGCAGCTCTGTCCGTGACTCTGTTTTCTCTCAGTAGTGGGTCACATTAAATCATTTGTTATGCCAAACTATGAAAAAAAAAAAAAACTTACAAAAATAAACCTAAGTAACTCTGCCAGAGTGTGTCTTTTGGGTCACTTTGCCTTAAATTTGGTCCCAAGCCCGGATAAAGGAGGAGGGTTGGTTGTAGAGCTAGCAATTTCACCCTACATAACAATCTTTTGATTACATTTGCTGTTATAACATTTAACAATACAGGACAAAACTGATGTGTGTAATGTGGATCTAGACAAAGCATTAAAATCATTAAATGTTGTTAATGTTGAAATTATTTTTGTACATTTGTAGTTCTAAACATATTTAGGGTGTTTTTACTCACTTTTGTCTCTCCCACGACCTTATTCCTCTCTCCTACAGCGTCCGTTACAGTTATTTGCAAATGGCAAATTATGCAAATTAGGCGATGACGTCATTTAGCGACTTCTAGCGACTTTTGGGACACAGCCAATAGCCTAGTCCCAGACTCATCGTGTGTTAGTGCACTTGATGAGATCTGGCGACGAGTCCCAGGCTATTCCAAACCCAGCTCAGTCTAAGGAAAACAAAACGGCTGCAGATCTGTGGGGTAAAATTGGTCTTTTTGCTTTGTGAACAAACATGTTGTCTTTTCGTAGATCCCTAAATTGCCCTTGAGACAGTTTTTTGCTTTGCTTTTCGCTCACCCCACTCAACACATCTGCACACAACATTCGTCAAGTCGCCATAAGACTTTCATTAGATCGGTGTGTTTCCATCTCCTTTTGGAAACCATCAGTTCAAAAACATCGGTCCCCTAAATAGGAAACATCCCAGCTCTGCGGGGCCAGGGGATGTTTTGCAGCTCCAGCCTCCCCTCTGTCAGCGCCGCACAAATCATCTGCCAAGTGCCTTCTCTTCATATTCAGGCAAATTGGAGCAGATCATCCGTTTGGCCTTGGGCTTCTTCCATCACCTCTGCACCTCTCTCCCCCCCTCTACCTCGTGGTCTCACCTCCCGGGCTTCGCATCCATCTACCACTCCCCCACTCACCTCCGTCTGCTCAGCGGTCTTTGATCCGGCTCCTGCCTCCTGTCATCACAAAACAGGCATATATAAATCAGGCAGCGGCTTTTGACAGCGCGCCCACAGCCAGCGCCTTCTTATCTACCTCTCGCTGATCTGATTCCATCATGCATCGACACGCAAGCCCCACCCTCCCCTGCTCCTCTTTCTTCAATCTGTTCTCTCTTCTTACTTTCTACTCATGTTTTTTATGTTTTGAAACCGCAAACGCAAGGCCCACAGGCCAAATAGCTGTCTCCAGTCAGTTGTTTTTTAGTGGGCCCTTGAATCATGATTTTTGGATATTACCTAATAACCTGCAGCATTGATGGGTGAGGTTGATAGGAGCCTCCATGAAAACCTGTGTACTCACTTTTAAAGTAAAAAATATTTTATCAAGACATACAACCATTATCATGTATTTTATTATAATAAATGTACCCATTCACCCCCCCCACACTTATAATTTGTTTCCATTTCAAAAATAAAGTCTCTAAAATCCCAGATTGTCAGTCAAGCTGCAGATGGATAGTGCTTTTCTGGAGAAGAATGGATATCCTCCATCATCGTCATCTAATGTCTTAGCTGTGTCTGTTAATTGCTATTTAACCTGCTGCCCCTTGTTCTGTGTGATGATGAGACCCCCTCAATCGGCTTCTTTTTTCTACTGTACATGTGAACTGGCCCGACTCTCGGGGCTGTGATCTACAGCCTCCAGTCCTGGACTCTATACAGCGTCAGTCCTGGATATACCGCCTCGGTCCTGGTTCTACTAGCCTCAGTCCTGGATCTACACCCCTCCAGTCCTGGATATTTCCCACAGGGCCTCAGTCCTGGATCTACAGCCTCAGTCCTGGATCTACAGCCTCAGTCCGGATCTACAGCCTCATGTCCTGGATCTAACAGCCTCAGTCCTGGTTCTACAGTCAGCGTTTTTTCCTAGCCTCATCTCTGATGCAGGAGGGTCGAAAGGACAGTGTTTGATCCTGGAGATTTATTGCACAATTATTAACAAGTACGTACAGTGGTCGATCCTGACTCCTTGGACCCAATGGCTTTCTCTTAGTGTTTGGGATTATTGCATTTCCCGTGTTTGAACTGTTGTATCTCTGATCTTTTCTTTGCAGTCTTTGGATGGACGACTGCTGTTGTGATTTAGAGCCTCGTACAAACATAAATGGAAGTGAACAGGAGGAGCTGGGTCTGGAACACAGTAAACATGGGCAGTTCTAGGTTTTAGTAGATGGAAATCGCAATCAGGCACCGGTGCGGTTAGCAGCGGAATGTGTGAAGCGGTGAAAATTGGTTCTTGGATCTGTTTGGGGGCCTGGTGTCGGTGATGCTGGGTTACAATGGCGTGAGTTGAGAAGAATCCAAGTCGTTCTCAGGTGACGGTCCATCCTCCAGAGAAAAGAGTTAAGTATTCACAAGAGTCTGAAGTTCACAGTGATGGGAAGATGGTTTAGAGTGTCGAGACCGACCAATCAGTGCCGACGTCTGACTCTGTGGGGTGTCTTGTCCTTGAAGCTTGGGGATAATCCGATCATTCCATTTTCCATTCCCTGTTACATCAGTCGATTCTATTGACTCTGTCCTCCAAATCTTAATTTCACCATTTCCCTGAACGCTTGAAAATGGGACGATTGCCAAAAGGCGACTAAAATGGCAGTTACAGAAAGACAATGTATTTTATAGAACTGAAACTGAAATATCTCCATGGTCACTACCCCACATCAACTCCCATGAACCTCTGATGCATCAGTATCTGCTTCACCTGCGGCGTATTCAACAGTGCCTATCCATTCTGGCTCTAAGGCTTTCAGCTCGTGCAGCAACAGTCCTCCCTATCAAACCCTCTTGTCTCTTGGCTCAGCTCGCCACCACCAGGTTTTAGCTTCAGGTGATGTCATTGTTGTCCTTAAATTGTGACCTGCATACATCACGACAGTGCGTTCACCTTGCATGCAAAAGCAAGATCCCGTCAGACATCCTGAGGCTGTGCAGGGCAGAGGGTCTTGGGTAGCGCTGCTGATGGGAGACCTCCTTGGGAACAGCAGGTGGCCACAGTGGGGCGGTCATGGCTGCGGCTTGGTAAAGTGCCACAACAATGTGGTGTGTGTCCTTAGGGCAAGACACTTCCATCCTCGGTCCAGAAAATGTGCGTCGGTAGGAACAAAGATACTCACAGAACCCTCAAACTCCCAAGACCCGGGTCAAAAGAGTCGGAATAAGGGCACACGGAGGGCGAAAGGATGTATGCGTGTTTTCGTTTTTTTATATTTAAATTATGGCAATTGAGTTGTTATGCTATAATGTCTCGCTGGGTGGAAAAAAACCAAGCCATATCCAATTATTTCATGTAAACCACAGTCAAATCAATAACAATCAATTCCTTTGGTCTCTTCTCTGCTAATGGGTCTTGGTTCTATCTGCGGAGGCTTCAGCACCGTGTGGGAGAAGACCTCAGACCCATAGGCCTCCTCTTCTCTACGATGGCCTCATCTTGGTGTATGAATGATGTATATCTGTTCTGTCTTTATGTATGTTTTATTGCCAGTGTCACTGAATGTCCTCTTTTATATCTATTTCGTTTGGAAACCAAGTTTGGTGCAAAAAATAGATTTTAAAATGTTCAAACACCTCTTACTGTTAAGTCTTTTCAAATAGATCGAGGAACGAGAGGTTATTAGTCGTGGTCTGGTTCTCAACTCTTTATGATTATTTATTCACCACAGACTTAATAAGCAACAAACAGACACATAGCATCACACACACACCACACAATCTCACACAAAATACAACTCATGCACACACACAGCACCTTAGGAGCACACACACATACATACACCAAACAATAGAAACACACACACACAACAGTAAACCACGCAGCATACCTACACAAACACTTAGCACACACACACACACAGGTAAAACATACAGCTTCAGACACACACATTCTCACACATATACATAACACACTCAGACATAGGGCACAAACACACACCACAGACACACACACACACACACACACACAGCACATCGGAGCATGCACGCACACACACACACAACACCACCCACACCCACACAGCCTGTTCAGCTGCATTAAAATCGCTGCCAGGATTTTTCCATTATTATTTCTCACCTTCACTTTTATGCAGCGCTCGATCAGCTCCTGCCGCTCACACCAGACCAGATGGAGACGCGAGTCTGCCGGTGATTGTGGTGGAGAGTCGGTGAGTGTTTTACAGGAGGCGAGGGGAGGTGAGGGGAGGTTGCTGAACGACGACACAAGACTATGCTCTGGTGATAATTCAGAGTCTGAACAGCCGCACACCTCCTTGGATACAAAACCCTGATTTTTTTTTTTGTCACAACTATATTTTTGGGGATGTAAACTAAAATAGAAGGACATGTCATTGTGACCAAAGACTAAAATGGATCAAAAAGTAAACGAAAAAATAGACCTTGGAACAAAATCCAATCGGAGTAAGTTAGTGAGTAGAGATGGACTAATGGAGGAAACACAACTGGGCCAGACTAGATGTGAGGAAACCCCAATGAGGGCTTGCCTTAGTCAGCACCGGTGTGGTGCGAGCTGTGGACCAGAAGCTATTGCTAATGCTAACTAAACACCACTATGGCTAACGCTAACCACAACCACCACTTTTGTAAGGCTCTGTAAAGTTTATCGTGGGGTGGCTGGATAGGAACAATTACCATGGTCACGACGATCTGTGGCCTCTGTGTACATTTGACAAAGAAGAAAACAAGAGTATGTATATATGCAGCCCCGTGAAGAAGCATGCGACCGCCAGCATGGGGATTCCCAAGCTGCGGAGGAGAGGTGATGTCTCTATAGACATACATGGGACCCAAATGTAAAACACTCGAAAAGGTACCTTTGTCTTGTTGCTTGGTCCTTGGTTTGTGTTATGTTGTGCCAAAAGGATAAGTACATGGAAGAAGGATTTGCTCTAATGTGTGGTGAAATATTCACAGGACACTACGAACAAGGTAAAGGTATGATATGCGACGTGTCTCGGAATGTCACCGTAGCGCATTACAAGCTATAAATAACTGGTACATATGCTTGTACAGGTATACAAAGGGCTCACAAGCAACAGGTTCAGAAAATTAACGCTATAGGTATATGATATCTATATATATATGTTGTTGATTGTAGTGGGGTGGGGTGATCTGAAATTGCTTTCATATTTATGGCGACCTAAAAGGGACTAAAACGACAATATCATTTGTAGGCAAAAGGACCTAGACTAAAACACAATATTAGATAGGTTCTTGTCCAAAATTAAAACTCGTGGTTTGCCTCATTCCTACTGGGCTGTAAACTGATGATGCAACACTGGGACTAAGTCCCCACTGGCCGGGGGATCTGGGATACACAGGGTCAAACCGCATACAAAGGGTGCACTTGTATTAATCCCGGAGGGCAATTTATATCCTCTGCATTTGGACCCATGCCTGATGGCCGCGAAGGCTTTTGTCCGGAGCGGGTGGTCAGCCCCGTTAGTAAACAGCGCGCATGTGGAACCCATCTCCTGTAGGTTGGAGGCGCGGCTTGGCCGCAGGACTAGCGCTAGCTGGAGGATTTATCCTTGTGTGCCATGGGGTGTGCGTGGGAGGGAAATATCCGGAGCACCCGAGGGAAACCTTACGCAGGCAGAAATATACGAGTGGATAGATATATATATTGTAATAGAGGCAGGGTTTGAGGGCCACAGCGCGCCCCAGGACAATTTTTGATCTAAAATAAACTAACCCGAACCAAACTTTTGCAAAAATTATTGGTCCAGAGTCGGTCGGTGGTGTGCAGACGTATATTCTCATCGTGGGCCGGCACGTGCACCCCGGCTCGCTGGCGTAGCCAAGGAGTTGTCAAAAGCCGTCGAGAATATGTGAGGTTCAGGATGAAAAGAAATGTCACGGCGATGTCGTGCAGCTCTGAGAATAAACGAAAGAATAAATAGGAGGGAGAAAAACATGAGCCGTCA